AAAGGTTTGTTGGTAATAATGGGGAAAATATATGTAGAATGTGTTTTATTTAGCAGTACGTTGGTTGTGTTTTGCAGGACTCATGGCGTGGGGTAGTAAGTACAGGTGTGCAGCAGGGGATCCCCATGCCGTGCTTCACCACCGCCCTGTCTTTCTATGATGGCTACAGGCACGAGATGCTCCCAGCAAACCTGCTGCAGGTAAAACTCTCTACAACTCACAAACCCTCTCTCTCTCTCTATCTAACCATATGGGATATCACAGGGATGACTTCTGGACACTTATGGTTCTAGGCATTTGAATCTCTTAGTATTCATATGGTAGAGATTTTATTTTATTTTATTATTTATGTAAAATAAATTAGAATAAAGAATTTAATTACTTTTTGTCTTTTTGGTTAGAATAAGAATTAGTACTCTTGCTTCAGACTCTTTATGAGTCTCTCCTTTTTATTTTAATACTCAAGAAGTTGTTCTCTCTTTGTATTTATCACTGGCTGAGCTAATATCACCTCTAACATTGTCACTCTTCAGGCACAGAGGGACTACTTTGGTGCCCACACATATGAGCTGCTATCAAACCCTGGAAAGTTCAACCACACTAACTGGACAGGCCACGGAGGACAAGTGTCGTCATCATCCTATAATGCCTAAAATCAAGAGTGTTATTAGGTTAAACAGCAATGAACATCATCTCCTCTCGATGAAGGACCAGAGCAGCTGAGCACATTCCTCCCGAAGAGCTGAACTTCAGCCCACAGTAGAGCTCTTACTGAAGAGTGTTCAAATGCATATTTCTATTTATACTAAATCATAGTGTATACACTATTTGTAAGCTCTGTTCTTGTAGTTTTAAGGTCCACTGTTGCAAACACTGCATTTCTGAGTAAGAGTGTTTTTTCTGAGATTCTTCTTGGTGTAGACTGGTCATGCTTTGCCCCCAGAGTTCACAGTGTTAACCCTGGATTATGGGTAACTATTGCACTGCTTTAGGCTAAATAAAGATTTCAATCCCTTTTTAATTAGCTTTTGTCTTCTTCACTCACATGCTGTCTACTGCAAACAGGATTTACTCCTGCTTATTTTTAACAGTAAATGCTAGATATGTAACTTGTTTATTTGTATACTTCTACTTTATCACCAGGGGAGGGCAGAAATGACTTTTTGGAGCAATGAGCTTGTTTACACTAGTAATGGGTTCAGCTGAGTGATTATTCTTTCAGGATGAAACTATAACAACCCACATGTAATATAAAAGACCTACAGTGTCTTTGCCTACTAACAGTTGAAATTTAATTTTTATGAGTAGTAATATGTAAATATCTTGAAACTATCCCGAGGAGCGTTACATTTTTGATTTTTTAACATTAAAAGACACTTGAGTAATATGCTCAAATAAACATCCCAGTAAAGTAACCACAGTTATTATAGTTTTTAATCTAAATGTAGTTTTTATTTCTATTTTATTGAGAATATTTAGTTTTTATTTTAGTTTTAGGGCTGACAAAGTTGCATTTAAAAACATTTACCAGTTTCTCAGCACAGTCTAGTGTTATTGCTGTTCATGTTTACTGCAGGTTTCGAGTTTGATAAGATTTATCATGTATCTACAACAAACATTTGTGTCCATCTTACTTTATTTTAGTTAGTTTTGGAGTCATAAAAATTAATTATAGTTTAGTTTCAGTAGTTCCCAGTTACATTAAATTTTATTTAAAAAAAAATTTCATTTCATTTTCCTTAACAACAATAACACTGTTCAGGTTTACATTACAGCATATGATGCTGGCAGGTACTGACAAGTAAATGACTGGTTCACGTGAAATCCTAACAGTTACATAGCACAAATATAGAAAATACATTTTTACTATGATGCTTTCTGATATGTAAGGCACATTTAGTGTTGAACCAAACATAAAGCAAGTGGAAAATGACTGTAAAAATAGGATTTGCTCCTGGTTAAGACACACTGCACCAATATCCTTAATTCACCTCCAACCTGTTTAAAGATCAAAGAGCTGAAGAGAGCAGCAGGTGCCTCTCATATATGTGTGACCAAAGACGTCACTTCCTTGTGAAGTTTTTCAAAAGGTCCAGCCACAGAGCGAGAGCTTGTAATAGAGCTCTACCCTACAGAGTAGCCTTAAAATGCTACAAGAACTCCAGAGATGAGTGTTAATCTGTACCGTATTGTTCTACTAAATACATTTTAGGTAGAATATGATGTTTATGCTATTTACTATGAAGCAACTGTTTGAAATGGTGGGTTTAAGTACGCCCATGGCCTGATTACTCAGGAAAAGAACATCTCAGTGATTAAAAGCCACTTCAAACAGAGGACACACTAGAACTAGGCAGTTTAGAATAGTATTGTAAAGGAGTCGTAGGCGAACTGTGCCGAGTCATCATGGTGAACAAGGCAATTCAGCGCATGGAGAGCAGGACAGGAAGTGGACACCCTATTTTGAGCTGTCTGCTGATTAATTATGCATCGGCTGGGGAGGAGTCTGGCTACGGATGAAGTCTGACACAAACACGAGATGCTGCAGTTTGAACCGACAAATACCAAAGAACAACACTTCCTTTAAAAGCCAAAGTATGTATATGATAAAGCATGTTTCGTCTTAATGCATGATTACGGTTGTGTTAAGGTGACCTAGGTGGGTGCCTTTTAGAGCATGTGGGGGGTTGTTTTTTGTTGAAATAATATCAATTCCATACAGGAATTATGAAATGAATTACTGTACATTTGTTAAGGATGTTTTTAAGTTTACAAGTACCCTTATGAAAATTGTTCATGAATGGATGTCCTCACAATAAGATAAAATAGTTCCAAAAATGTGAACAATAACCCTAGATATTACTAAATAATATCTTCCCCTGTACTGTGTTGATATCTTTTGTGAAGGTACCTCTCTAAAACATGATGATGGGAGTTAGATGGGACAATCGAGCAGCGGTTGAGAGAAGCATGTTCATTATGCGGGTGATGCTGAGCCTGTTTCCTCTGGTTCTTGTGGTCTGGAATGGTGAGGCGTCACCTGTACAAGACAAACAATCACACACCAATGAGGTGAATCTCTTATTTAAAGTGTTTTAATGGGGGAAAACGTGCATGGGCTCATATTTGTTAGTATTTCCTAAGATCATTGTCAGTGGCTAAGAATAACTGGACTGCAGTGTTGTAATACTGTTAATGCTGTAAAAATCTATAGCAGTTATCTAATACTCAAGCCCACAGATATGTCTCGTCTTCTAGATACTGACCAAAGACCAGAAGGACTTGAAGAAGATGATGACGGATAAGGCTGAGCTGAACCTCACTAGTAAAGAACTAGCAGACCCTGATTTTCTGGGAGAGAAGTCTGTTTTTGAACCAACCCCTCGAGATAAATCTCCTTGCAAGCTCTTCTTCTGGAAGACCTTCTCCTCATGTTAAAACTAGAAAACAGAACAGAGAGATGAGTCTGTTGAAATCTACAGTCCTGCCTTTGCAGTTTAATGCATTGCATTAAAATCAATGTGTATGCCTTGGCTTCTGCTGTTCCTGTATTGTATTTTATGTCTAAGGACTTTGAAACTACTTATTGTTCGAGGTAACAAAAAAAAAAATACAAATAAATCTCCAAAAAATACAATGGCCTTGTGCATGTAGCCTACACTTTATACTGTTTGACATCCAAGCCTAAAATACTGTAATAAAAGTTCTACAGATCCCTTCATGTCAGTCCTATAACTTTACCTTCAAAATTATAAATAACACCGCTATGCTACGTCATTATAGCTTTGCTTAAGAAAATCAAACAACCATCATTGTGAAGTGTAGTCATTATTAAGTGAAGGATTGGCACCACTTAACGGCAAGACAAGGAAACTTCTTCTTCGTAGATGTGGCTTGCAGATACAGAAGTAATCTAGCACTGCAGGTATGTAATATTTTGATACATATATGTCAAAAGCAATTGGTAACTTGAGACAAGATATATGGTTTTAAAGGAATTTTCTGGGTTAAGTCAAAGACGACAGCGTTACTTTGTACCATATTTGATTATTCAAAGATAACTTAGCCCCATTAGATACTTTTTTAAAGAAGGGCACTTACAGTAGAAGTAAACAGGGCCCAGTAGAAAGTTTAGTTTTGCTGACAAATATGTTGACATCAGACTAGAGAAAAATAATCGCTTTTAACCAACTTCGTTGTCATGACGACGCAGTTAATGCAAGTAGTCCAGGTAACTTACAGGTGCATCTCAATAAATTAGAATGTCGTGGAAAAGTTCATTTATTTCAGTAATTCATCTCAAATTGTGAAACTCGTGTATTAAATAAATGCAATGCACACAGACTGAAGTAGTTTAAGTCTCTTTTCCACGACATTCTAATTTATTGAGATGCACCTGTATGCATGTCCGCACAGATGATCTGACTGCTTTTACTTGGAACGGAGGGTTTGGCATACCGTTAATTTTAATCCGAAGGGAAACAAAATGCTCTCCTTGCGTCTCTCTGGAATTCCAATTGTCCGAAAGCCTTTTGAGTTTGATACGTCTTCACCTGTCATCAGGTGAGTCTACTGGTAACAGTCATATCATAGTACTTACCTGTGACAAAATCTTCATCCGCTCAGGACAGTGGTCCCACCGAAAATGGCTTTCATTCAATTCAACTTTATAACCCCAATAATACGTTAACGTAAAGATTTAAGAGCTTAAAAAAGTTGTCTACATTGCAGGTCAAGTCCAATAAACAAAGACTTTAAATTTTATTAACTCGTTAAAGTTTAGTAAGAAAATTCATTGTTTAATATCATATTCAGCAGTTATTTACTTCAAGGAAAAACTATCTGCAGTTCTACTTGTTAAACTGATATTCCACAAATAAGACAAACAGCAAAACCACTAAATAGTATGTTTGCGTTATATTAAAAACTAGTACTTTGCAATGTACTAAACAAGTACGTTAAACTTCAAATGAAATGAATGCAACATTTCAGGTAAAATAAAAAGAGATACAGTTACAATTCCTCTGTGTATGTTTATTAAGTATTTTGAAAAATGGAAATCCTGCCAGTGATTAAGTCATTGATAACACAAACCCCATTCACAAAATCCTATCGGTTCACCCATAACAGAACACTATGAAAAATAGGCCTTTTCAACTTTCACTACACTATATTTACAGTGGGACAGATCATGAAAAAGCAATCAAACAAAAGAACGACTTAAAAGCAAGATCAATGACTGCATTGACTTCTTGCGTAAAACAGAGCTGGAAATACACAAGCATGAACATGAAGTCATTTGCAATGGGACTGATCCATAAACACACTGGTTTAACTTTGCTTTTAGATTGCAAAGGACTGTCTTTAGTCACGCACTCCGGCCAATTGCGAATCGTCCATTGAAATTTCAATAAGGGAAATCCAGGGAAATCTGGTTACAGTGAAGTGATGTAGTCCCTTTTCAGGTTAAAGGCATACAGCAGCAGTCTCCACAGATGAACTGTGTGAACTTCAGTCTTCAGCTCTCCCATTAGGGACTTCACTCAGGGTTCTGAGGTAAACCTGGGCCAGCCGCGTCCAGCGTCCCTATACATGCGAATTAAATAAGTGTTTGCAATTCAATTAATGTCTTGAAGCAAATAAGCCACTATCAAAATAACTAGTCAAATTATTTTTTATTTGAGTTCCCTTAGATTCACAAAACATATATAAAGCATTCAAAGCACAGAACAAAAGCAACCTCTTCTTGAAGCATTCTTCGCTTTCATCAATACATCACCCCAGTTAAGCCACTCATTGCCCTCATTCACCGCCCACAGACAGCATCACATCAAGTTCACACATATGTGTTCAGTTACAGCGAGATAGAACGCACACCATACACAGCATTCACATCAAATTATTAAGCAAGAACACAAATACTTAGTAGGTCACTTAAAACATTCCACTACATATCTTTTTTTTTTAAATGCAGCTCTTTAAATATGATTGCAATATAAGAAAGGGAGGAAGGTAGACAGAACAAGAGGGACGGAAGAATGTAAATGAACGTCCTTCTACAGAAAAAACACTCGCTGCCTTCGTTCACACTCGTTCACACAGATTCTTCTCACAGTCTCGCAGTCAAGTCGCTTTTCAGCATCGCACTTGCGTTCAAGTTCTCTCTCTCAGCGCGTTCGCTCATTCAGTCTCTCACTCCTGGTGCACCAGCACTCGTTCACACAGATTCTTCTCACAGTCTCGCAGTCAAGTCGCTTTTCAGCATCGCACACTTGCGTTCAAGTTCTCTCTCTCAGCGCGTTCGCTCATTCAGTCTCTCACTCCTGGTGCACCAACAATTCATCACCATATCACTCTCAGCTCTCAAAAAAGCGGACAGATTTCATCCATAAAAAGGGTGAAAAAGACAACACCCACCGTCTAACACAGTATATGCAGAGTGAAGCTGTGCTCTCTGGTGGCAAAGCATTTACACATGGGAAGAAGGGAACTGATACTGAGATCGCTCGAACATTGCGGCCAATGAGGGGCTTCTTCCCGGGAAATTGGAAAAGAGGTGATGAACTGTAGAAGAGATTTATGAAGGCTTGACCATAAAAAACGTTGAAGGGAAAAAAAACTGCAGAGAACACAACTCAAATGGCTTTCCACATGGAGCATCTTTAAATGTACTGTACGTTGAGAGGGCACTGAAATGGTAAGAGATGCTCAGATATGTGGGCATACTGAATGCCCGACACAAAATAAATTATATCCATAAAGAAAAAAACAACAACTTAAGTGTTCATTTAATTCCTAACAAATTCAACCACTCTAAATTAATCTTAAAGAGCAATCATTATATGTATACAAAGAACATTCAGTTTTACAAAATCAAAGGGCAAATATTTAAGGGACATAATATCGGACTAAACTTGCTTCTCTCAAAATACTTACCATATAATCTAGATATTAGGATACTTCGAGACCCAATTGAAATCTCTCTACATTCCCCAGCTGGACTTTGTCTCCATGCTAGATCCAAAACCGGAGTTGAACCCACTGCTCGAGCCCGAATTGGTTCCCGCCCCCCACCCAAGACTAGCTGAGCTGCTGGTGTTGTAGCTATTGCTGCCCGTGTTGTAACTCGGGTTCTGATCTCTACTACCGCTGTTCTGTCCGCTAGGGGTGGTGCCGGAAGCGGCTGTCTGATTCTGCTGATTGGCCAGCATTCCCATCATGCCCCAGCTACTCTGAAGTGCTGCCTGAGCAGCTGCCATCATGGCTGGATTCAAGCTAAGGGCCCCAAAATTCACATTGCTGTTGGGACTGCGACTACTGCCAAAGCCCTGCCCCCCAAACCCCCCGAACCGCCCACGATCCATCATTTGCCTACTATTATTGTGCTTAGGCTCAGCGTTGGAGATGTGCACACTGGTTCCTTTAATGATCAGGTCCTCACCGCACAGAGACTGGGCAACCTGGAGGAAAACAACCATGTGTTGATTTGAGAAGAGAATGAGAGCAAGCCAAATAACGAGAATGGAAAAGACCAGAAGACCGACCTGATCATCAGCAAAGGTGACAAAGGCAAAGGCTCGGAAAGGTTTGGGAATGAACACGTCTGTGACTTCGCCATACTGCATAAAAAACTGTCTAAGCTCATCGGCTGCCATGTCCTCTGTGCAGCGGCCCACAAATACTTTCCTGCTTCTCATAGGCTCATCCGGACCAGCCTGTTCCATGAAATACTAGATCATTTAATAGAAAACAGGGTCTACTCATGCAATGTTCACAACAGCAAGGGCATCCCAAAACATTTGAAACATGAAATGTGTATATGTTCAAATATAAACCCTTTAATACTTATAAGCACAAGTATAACTTATATATCAAAATGTTAACTGTGTGGTATCACGTGGCATTAGTGTTGCTGAAATACCTTTGAGTTTGGAAGTTTGCAGTCGCACCATCTTCCATCAATCATATGCCGCTGGGACATGGCTTTTACTTGTGTTTCATAGTCTGTAAATCTTACAAAGCCAAATCCTTTGGAATTTCCAGTTTTTGCATCTCTTTTCACCTGAGGGAACAGGTCATGCATGACATTTAAGTTATAGTTCACCCAAAAATGACAATTCTATCATTATTTACTCATACTTTTCCAAATCTATATGACTTTTCTTTCTTTCTAACTCCAAAGGAGTTGTTTAAAGCAGAATTCTGAGCTGCTTATTTTCATACAAAGAAAGTGAATTATCAAACACTACTTCATTGTGGCAGATTTGTAGAAGAAAAAAAAAAGCTCAAATTTTTCCCCCAATAATTTCTTATGGTGGTAATTTTTGACCATGAACATCACAATTGACTTTTTTTCCCAAAACCATTTAGCCTTTTCTAATCATGTCCACAATTTTCTGTGTATTTAACAAGTGCCACAAAAGTCACCTAGTTTTCCATTCCATTCCAAAAAAGAAACTAAAACAAGAGTACTTTGAAAACGTCTGAGGGTTAGGTAGGATTTTCAGTAAATAATTTACAATTTCAGTCTTTTTTCCCCACGCAAAGCTATTGTACTGTTTCAAAAGACTTATAATATTGCAGAAAAGTATTGCCAACTGCTATGATGCTTTTTTTTTTTTTGTCATTTTTGGAGCTTGACAGCCTAAAAAGCCCTTGGCAGCCCCCATCCACTTTCACTGAATAAAAGAGAGCAACATAAACATTGTTCAAAACAAATCCTTTATGCTCCACAGATGAAAACCCATCATATAAACGCGAGTTATATAAGAGGGTCATCATATAAGAGAGTGAGTAGTTATTTCTTTTTTTTTTTAATGTTTGGGGTAAACTATTTAGGCTTCATACTAACCTGCACCATGATCACGTCTCCAAAAGTGCTGAAGTAATCTTTAAGGTCTTGCTCTGATGTTTTCCATGGCAACCCAAGCACAATCAAATCTGATGTCTTCTGCACACCTCTCTTGATCTTCACAGCCGATGCAGCATCCATTTCATCCATCTTCCTCTTGTTATCTGAAAATGTATGATATTTTATTATTCTAGTTATATGGTTAATTTTAAAACAATCAACTAGATTTGCATGCTCAATATGCATTAGTAGTAGATAACTGGGTGCCTGACATAAGACCATATTTTCTGTGCATCAACAAACACTGCAATCAAATAAACCCAATACTACTAGATCTGATGTTACCTTTTGGGTAGTTGACCACGTACACCAGATTGCTCCAGTCTGATTCGGGTGCATGAAGAACCCCCTCCACTAGTCGTACCCCTCTCATGCACTGAGACACGGGGCTACGGTATCTAAGGCCGCAGGCACCGGGAAACTGCGCGGCGACGGTGGAGAGCAGCACGGTGCCGTCCTCCTCGGACGGAATCTCCATCGGCTCCTCGTTCTCATCCTCCGCGACGCGAATATAACACTCAGTCATGTTTATACCAAGAGCGCGAGCTGTGCTAACACCTTCAAGATCAATAATTCAGCTATAAGACAACAAACGGGGCTGAAACTGAAACTAGGACACCGGAAAGACCTCAGAAGTAAACAACCACAAATCGGTTGGCAACAAGTCTGATGTCTATTGTTTACGTGCGACTGTTGTCAAATAATGCGGGGCGCCATTAGCTAAGCTACTTGCTAACCGCGCGCACGTTAGAAATGAATGGCGCGTCGCACCCAGTTCCCGCCAATTTTCACGGTGTGCAAACACCTAGTCATCGATTGTACTTGATTATCTACCGATTGTGATCAAAACAAGCAACGAAAAGTAATAAAAATAACGAAAATGCGTGGACTAATGCATCCAGTTGCCGTTTCGACCCCCTAAACTGAGAAAATGGCCACCAGATGCGTCACTGCAGGAATGACATCATCAGTTTGGAGCGTCGCATCACAGCACATGGAGGGGTTTGTGAATGTAATATGTTTACTTTTTAAACGCATTACGTTGTTAGTTTGTGGTATACTATATCAGATGGTGTGATTTTGTCGTGTCTGTTTGTGATCTTGATGGACCGGTGGGGTTATTCTTTTTATTTAAGGACGTTGAAATTATGTCAAATATACAAGAATCCACTGTAGTGTTGAAAGCTTCTCCTCATATCTCATCTTACAGGTTTGTTACATCAGATTTAGAACAGACAAAAGCACTGGAAAACAATGGATTTAAAGACAAAGGCCTGCAATATTACCAGTCTGCAACTGAGTTGATTGCGTGAAATAATCTATGTATTTATGACAAAACAATATTCAAATAAATAAATAATAAAAAATCATAATAACTCGAATCAGCTAAATATATTGGTTACTTTAATAGCTTAAAACGTAAAAATGGGAAAAAATGGGTGATAATTTTGTCTGTGTTGTAATACTGTAACATTGTTTCCAACATTCAGTTGAAAGGCTTCATCATACAATGTCTGGTTTCACTTTTGGAATCCGAAATGGTTTGATCGGCCATCTCATGGGTGTTGTTAGGACCTACAATTGTTTTTTATAGTTTTGTAATGGCCAAGAATGACACAGCCAGGTTTACTTTATGCTGCCAAACATTATGTAATCAATATTCATTCTACCTATAAACATGCGATTTTATATCACAATTACAACTGAATGAAGGTATACTGTGCTGTAATCTTGCATAGTTCTTGATAGCAACTGTTAACTCATGAAGTGGCCATGGCATTTTTATTGGAAAAGGTAAAGCCTCATGTGAGTTAGAATGAGTGAATGAAAGAAAGCAAGAGAGATTTTTATTGCCATGCAGGTGCAGGTTTCCCCCCTTCCATGGCTTTTTTCACACTTGCGTACGTGTTGTATAATTTTATGATGAAGTGGGTCAGCCTTGCTCTTACACTCACTTGTAACCTAAAAGGCCAAACACAGCCGACTTGTTTGCATTATAAAAGCAGTTGTATCGCCTCTCTGTCCTTAAGAACCAAATGAGCCATGGCGCTGATGCTCATAAGGGTTTTACTTATTTCAGTTTAAGTAACTAGATGGTTATGCTTTAAGTATTTTCTCCTATAATATTACTAAAATCATTATTGTTGCCCTTTGCTTCACATAGGCATTTCATTTTGCCCCTATGGGGAAATGTTGTGCATCTTCAGGAGAGAGACTGGATGGGCAGTCCATCTGCAAGCATGACAGGTAATTATTACTTTACAGTATGTTAATCTTTATTCTGTAGTAAAAGAATTAAAACTGGCTGAGTTTTATTTTTCTAGAGGGTGATGTGGAATGTTTCTCTGAGTACATGGAACTCTGGATCCATAGAATGAGAATTGAGGGACTAAGGCTTTGGCTGTCTGGAATATTACGGATTCAAGGTGAGATATATGGACATTGAATTTCTGACCTTAACACAAGAGAAGAAAGAAACAGATCTGTGGGTCACCATTAACAGATTTTCACCTATAAAATAAAAGTTTTTTGGAAAAAAAAAATCGTTATAGTATCCACATTACATATTTTACACTTTGATATAATTGATATGTAATTTATACTAAATGTAGGGTAAGACTGACAGATTATTCTTTATTATTTGGTTAAGATCCCATTTATGTACTTTATGACAGAATTGTCTGTCTGTAAAACGCATCTTATTGGATTGTAGTGATGTTATTCCTTTCAGGGAATATTGTTATTCTGTTGATATTCTAGAAGTAGTTTTTAATAAAGACAGTGCACCATAATTTTGATTAAAATTGCATATTAAACATTTTATATATATTTTTGACACAAAAAATGGACTTTGATGTTGACAAGCAAACAAAAATAAGTTATAACAGAAATAATAACATGTTCTCTCAAGCTGTTGCACAAAAGAATAACTTGGAACATTCTCAAATATTTTAATAGTATATAAAAATATTAATATATATTATATAAAATATGTATAATAATATGTAATATTATATCTAATTAAATTACTTTAAGAAGTCCGTATGTCACACAGTAAGACAGACAGTGCAAGGTGTGAGTATCACCACCATTTTAAAGTTTTATAAATCTCTTGCTCTTTTCAGTGGGTTTGGTGTCCATGGAGAATCTAAATCATCAGCTTTCTTCATGTGGGTTTGTCCTGCACAGAGATCTGGAAAAGAACTATATTTTCAGAGTCATGTACAGTGGATGTTTTGTCCAGTTAGAGGTCAGAAAATGTCCTTGTTTGTCACTGAAACATATTTGGTTCTGCAGTGTGTTGCTAATATAAACATCTGACCCTTTTTTATCACTGTATCTCAGAATAACATTAACATTTTGCAGTGATTTTTCAGCATGACAGTTATGTGATTTTGCTGAACCTGCTGAAGAGAGTAAGTCGTTTTGGAGGCAGGACTCAGAAGTTTATGATGAAGTGTCCAGCAGTGTCAGCGCCTCCTAACAGAGAATACATCCAGTGTGATTCAGACTTCATTCAGGTAAGAACAGGGTGATAATTCCTCTCCTCTTTTGTTTGTTCTTTTTTTTTTTTTTTTTTTCTCAAAGCTTTTTTTGGTGTTCAAGGTTACCAGAGAGATCCCTGTGGATAACTGGAATAATGAGGTAATTTCTAATAAATGTGTCCATATGTGAGGTTATGAACAGATTAATGTATATAATGTGGAATGTTCCTCATATGATTTGTCCAATCAGCTCGACTGGTCTCTGGCCTTGAGAGGGAGTCTGGTGGTGGCTTTGGAGGATTCCAGTCTTATTCAAGTAAATGTTGAAATGCACAAACCAAACATAACAGTTCAGGGGAGGAGAGACACCATTTTAAGTCCTGTGCAGGTAAGACTGTGCTGTCAGTTTGTGGCTGTGAACATTTGAAATAAGTTAGCAACAGAACACATATACAACTTTTATATGCAGAAAGGAAAAGGAGGCATTCATTATTTTAAATTTGAGGAGTATTTTTGTCACTTTCTCTTGTAACTGAAAGCCCTTGTTAATTTTTCTGACCCTGTTTGAACTAGAATTATTTACAAAATTGTGCCACCTAATGGTATGTAATTGAATAGCATATTTTTGGATTTGTGCTTTGTGCTCAAGTTGAGTTAAAAATATCCAAACTGGCTGAAGAATTGTCTGTAAACCTCTCATTGAATCCATCGTGTGCTTTAAACAGTGCAACAGGAGGTTTATTTTCATTAAAAGTCTACATATTTTTTAGGTTTTCAAATCTGAAGGACATTTCTTACCTCTCAAACTGGTCAGTGGCCATTATGCCTGCAGCATGGAGGCGACCTGCCCAAATGGTTTGTTATTATGGTCATATCTTAGCACTTATCATCTTTATTTTTCAATTTTGTATCTCTTACATATTTGAATAGCCATTCTGCATGTTTCTTTCAGTGAACAATTCGTCATCTGAAGACACGGTGCTGCATGTCTATAAACGGCGTATGGGCTTGACCAAAAGAGGTGGATATCAAAATGAGACCCTGTCAGTAAGCACTGTGATTGTGGAACAGACTGACAAATTCACCTGGTCAGAGACAAGTGACTTTGTGCAGCTTATCATTCCCACATCCCACATTCAACAGAAAAAGGTTAGACGTTTATAACTTTAAATATACTGTATACACATTACTGTTCAAAGGACTGTTTGAAAGAAATCAATACTTTTATTCAGCAGTGATGCCTTAGATTGATCAAAAATGACAGTAAAGGTATTTAAGATGTAAAAAAACAAATGCAGTCTTTTTAATCTTTATATTCATCAAAGAAAATAAAAAAATCGCTAAGAAGTTTCTTAAGTACCAAATCAGCAAATTATAAGAATTTCTGAAGGATCATGACACTGAAGACTGGAGTAATGGCTGCTGAAAATTCAGCTTTGCCATCACAGGAATAAATTACATAAATTACATATATTAAAATAGAAAAACAGTGATTTTAGTGTCTGCAATTTATCTGAATACAAATAGTATAGTATTTTATACATATATATATATTTTTTTTTTTCCTAATATAAAGCGATTTCATATGAAAATAGTTTTGTATTTTAGAGCTTTCAAATAATGATATTTGCATTTTGATTTCATTTTATTTAAAAAATGTTATAGTTTATAATTGGGTAAAATCTTGTAATTGGTTAAAACTGTCATTTTTATATATATTTATTCTATTTTTTAGGAGTGCATTGGTCAGGCAGGTGAGAAACTTCAGCAAAATTTCTACAAGATAGATGCTATTCTCACCTTTAAAGAGACAAATCACAAAATGCACTGGACCATGGAAAACACTTCACCTTGTTCAGGTTAGGGTCTGTTCAAAAAGTTCCTGAATCACTTGAAGGTGTAAAAAAGAAAAAAAAAACTGCACAGGGCCGTGAAAACAGCTCACCATGTTCAGGTTATTTACTTTTCGACTGTCTGAGTCCTCAGTCAAGGTATTTAAAACTATAAATTGCTACAATTGTTTTTCAGAGATGTTAAAATCACACCTCCATTTAACGCA